AAAAAAAGAGCCGCAAGGTGGCGCTGGAGTCGAGTTGTTGCTAAAAATCGTCAAGTGAAGTAATTCGGAGACACCAGGGAACAAAATCAAATTACCACCGTTAAATCGACCACCATAACCATTGCGGCCCTTGCGACCGCGACTAAACATAATAAAGACAATTCTTGATGAACGCCTACAAATTCGATTGTAAGACATTTATGGGTATGAAATAAGTCTATGTATATTGGATTTCTGTGGACCAATGATGTTCTCTCATTTTGAAATTGCCACCACCTTTTCTATACAGATTCAAGGACGATTCACCATCGAGCCGGATCATTGTTTCCGCAAGAACTTCTTCACGGACATAACGCTTTCGTTGCGTTATTTAAGACGGCAACGCAGGATAAGCTTTCTGACGACCACAAAACCAAATGTGAATGTTAATTGTGGTGAACACTTTGTACCAAGTATTTGAATAAAGAAATAAATTTTGGGCGGGACAAAGTTCGCCAGGTCTGCTAATAAAAAACAAAGTTGCGGAACAACATTTTCTTCAGTGAAAATTATTATTTTTGCGAGCGGTAACTGAACAATTTCTAATATGGGACCGAAAGAAAAAAAAACATTCGTTTTATTTGACACAGTCTAATGTACATACATATGAGCATATCGCACGTTTAAAAATAAAGATATTTGTTTCAAAATTTTAATTTTGTAGGAAAACTTTTTCTTAACAGCTAAACATTCGAAAAATCCAATCTGTTAATGTCGAATGCAAAAGTCTAGTTGTTTATGACCGTTAAGTCGAAAACGTCAAGAGAAACGGTTATTCGATTTATTTTTGATTCGAGATTTTTTTTATTTTTTTATTGCTCTTGGTAACATTAATAAAATCCACAGTCTGCTGTCATTAACCCCACATGCACCCACCCCTGGTATATGTATTGTATAGAAAAAGTTTAGCAAAACCTACCCAATAGTCCATCGTAAACGACAGTGAATTCAATCAGATAATTCTTTAGCGTCTCTTTATTGGCATCAAAAGTGAGTGCTTCATTGTATACTGGATTAATAATGTTGCGTGCTACGCCGGTTTTGCGCTTCTTAATTTTCTTGCCAGCCGATAGCAGAGCTACTTTTATATATGGATCGGATGAGCTACGAGAATCATCTATTATGCGCAAGTTACGCGCTTTTATTATTACAACTGTAAGACGCTCAGCCGATGGTAAAAATGATAAGGAAACCATGATATCACCCAAGTCGACTTTTAGGTTCTAAAAATAAAAATTCAAAAATTATTTACTAAATAAATATTCGGAACAATAATATTATTTAGTATAATACGATTTAGTATCTATGTATATTAGGCCGCTACACCAACAAAAGTGGCGGTTTTTCCACCGGGATTACAAAATTTATTATATTTTAAGACTTCCACCAAAATATTTCGGAAAAAGGTTAAGATTTACGAGAGCTGGACCGATGATCCATTGAGCTCTTGGCTCAATCCTTATCTGCTCACACAGCTCTCGGCTCATTCCTTATCCATTCGTCTTGAAATATATTGGCCAGGTATGCGATTGCTTTATAAAAACGAGAACCATTTTGAAATATGAGTGTTTTTACTCTCTAGTAGATAACTTGCATAATTCACATACGCAGTTTTGCATTTTGTTGATACGCGGTTTTGTACTTTAAACGACGATATATGTGGGTATATGAATAACGACTGCTTAAAATCGATTTCAAATTTGTACCTTCGCTGTAGAAATTTTAGGTCTATATTATGTAGTTGGACTATTGTCAATAGAGGTGAAGAAAACATCGTGGCACTATTGATGCATCGATGTTTTTGCATTTTTTGCTAAACATCGATGGTTTATGGCGTCTATCGATGCTTCTTTTGTATACTTCTGCGCATGTAAAATGAAATAATAGGGGTCTTCCCTTAAACTCGTAAAAGCCTCGTAAAGCTCGTACATTTACGAGCCTCGTATAATAACTATTTTCAAGCTCTCGAAAATTTACGAGGCAAATCTGATGCGTAAACAATCTCGTAAACTTCAGTGTTGCCGAGGGGCCGAATGAAAAACAATAAAAAAAATAAAAAAATACGCGAATAAAACGAATGAATTTCATCCACTAATTGTATTGACTTCTGCTAATTTTCGGCATTTTTAATGGATTTTAGCCATGAGTGATAGTGACAAGATGGAGGGTTGTTATGGAAAATACTACGAAACAAATATTGCTTCAAAAAATCCTGGTTGATCTGTCAAACAGTCACTTTACGCACCAACTTACACCTTTTCGCACAGGGGCGGTCCCATAAAAGCCTCGTAAACTTACGAGTTTTACAAGGTTTAAGACATTACGAGTTTAAGGGAATGCCCTAAATATTAGTTTCTAGTTTGTAGCCTTTCGAAACAAAAATCAAAGTAGTTTTTAAGACATTCAATAAAAAAATCGTTCATCTCTTTTTAATAATATAATAATAATAGACTGGCGCTTACACATATGTTAGTGTTTGGCCGAACTTCTCCTCCGATTTTTGGCGTGCGCCTTGATGTTGTCACACAAAGTTGAGGGACCTTCAGTTTTACATGTTTTTATGAGAAGCTGTTTTCCATGGCAGAAATACACTCGGAGGTTTGCTATTGCCTGCCAGGGGCGACCGCTGTTAAGAAAAAACCTTTTATCTTTATTTTTGAGCAGGGCTTGAACCCAGGCACTGCAGAGGGGAAGCGCTCACTGCTAACCACTACACCACAGCGGCGGCCGTTCTCACAAGCTTTTATTTAACTTGACTTACATACGTATGTACTTATATCTCCTGGAATTTTGCTATCAATTCTAACCAACTTCCCGATGAGCTAGCGACTTGGAAACTTTAAAAATAGCGCAATATAAAAGACTAATTAATCCACTAGGTGGCGCAGGTTAAGAGATGTTTGAAAAACCCGTTTTTATGGTCCGATATGGTTCATTTTTGGAATGCATATCTATTACTTTCATGGAAGGATATAGCTCCACAAAAGGTCTTTTTGATTTATTTTATTCGCAAAAACGTATTCGGGCGTATTCATAGTTAAAATTAAGTTCAAACCTAAAGCTACTTGCAGCTTTTTGACATAATTTTTAATGGGTTATCTGTCAAAAACGCTACAACTAACTTTAAGTACCAACTGAATTTTGCATTTAAATGCCCTATTTTTCACAACAATCGATATTACATCGATGTTTTGCTTTAAAATATCGAAAACATCGATGGTAGCAAACATCGATGTTTCTCCAACTCTAATTGTCAATTAAATCTAATGCTTTGTAATGCTCCACGTTTTTCGTTTTCAATCTCATAAAATGTTTATAATGACTTGATAAAATTTCAAAATCAAAAGTTATCAAAATAAATTCAGTGGGACTGAGAAATATTATTTTCTACTTTTTAGTCCATTTATAAAGGCGTGGTATATTAAACAGTTTTTTTTTTATTTTATTTATTTAGTCTCGTTCCAAACGGTTCGTGGGAGAACAAAAGTGCTTTATTTCTGAAAAATGCCACTGTTGGTTGCGTAGGTATTTTGAAAGCAGCCTTAGTACTTACTTGTTCAGCGCAAGGTCCTAATGGAGTCCACAACTCAACTTTCTCCGTTAAATCCATGTTGCTGAGAGGTATTTCAGCGCCACCAATACAAACATGACGAGAGTACGCATCAAAATCGTAGAGTAAAATTTCAATTGTACGCTTGTCAACAACATTCGTGTTTTCCTCAAAAACAAAGTCTTCGTCAAAAACTACAAAAACTATGTAGGTAGATTAAGATAAAGGCGTACATACATATATATATACACATTTTTATACCCGAGCGCACTTGTGCACAAGGGTATTATAACTTTGTTCACATAACGGTTGTTTGTAACAGGCAAAACGAATCGAGATAGATATAGACAAATGTATACATAAATGATCAGAATGAAAAGAGAAATCGATTAAGCGGTGACTGTCTGTCCGTCCGTCCGTCCGTCCGTCCGTCCGTCCGTCCGTCCGTCCGTCCGTCTGTCCGTCTGTGCACGGATGGTATTGAAAATGGGCGAAATCGGATAATAACCACGCCTACCTCCCATATAACGGTAATTTTAAGAAATACGAAAACTGCGATATTTTAGTAACTACTGAAGATAATTCACTCAAAATTGATACTTAGAATGAGTTTCAGACGGAAAACATGAATATTATAAATTTTTGCAAAATGGGCGTAGCCACGCCCACTTATGGTTACATGTGTATATCTTGGTAACCGCTACACCAATTTCTTCCAAACTTGGCACAGTTGTTGGCCTTAGTACAGCATACTAAATGGCTGAAAATTTTAAAAATCGGACAATAACCACGCCTACCTCCCATATAACGGTAATTTTCAGAAAAACAAAAACTGCAATATTTTAGTAACTACTGAAGATAATTTACTCAAAATTGATATTTGCAATGAGTTTTAGACGAAAAATAAGAATATTACAAAATTTTGGCAAATGGGCGTAGCCACGCCCACTTATGGTTACATGTGTATATCTTGGTAACCGCTACACCAATTTCTTCCAAACTGGGCACAGTTGTTGGTCCTGGTACAGCATACCAATTGGCCGAAAATTTCTAAAATCGGACAATAACCACGCCCACATCCCATATAACGGTAATTTCGAGAAATACAAAATCTTCGATAAATCAGTAAATATTGAAGCTAATTTATCCAAAATGGATGATTGCAAAAATTCTTTACCAAGAAATACGTTTATGACAAAATT